AGAAAGTGTGAGGAAGCTGGTGTGAGGAGGCCCAGGGTGCTGTGGGCCTGTGCCCGTGATGTGGGGAACAGGGACATCAGAAGGCAGCAGAGATGCTGGTGGTGTTTTTAAGGGGGGCCCTAAAAAGAGGCTCCGGATTTTGGTTCATGCTGCCTGGGACTAGTGGTGTTGGGASTGTGAGCAGTAGCAGGAGGCCTGATTTGCTGTGGTTGTGTGTGTGCAGAGGTGGAATGAGAGCATGAGAGTGATGAAGAGCAAGGAGGCAGTGAGGGAGTTGTTGTGTTTGGAAGCAGAGGGCAGCGTGCGGGCGAGAGAAAAGGCCTCTCTCCCTGCGAGAGCCGACCACAGTTTGGCCATGATGTGCAAAGTGAGCGAGCGAGGGGGAGTAGAGTATAGTAGAGTGGAGGAGGGAGTATGTGCCGTGAGCGTGTATGAGCAGGGAAGAGAAGGCAGCTGTGGGAAGGAGGGCCCGGAGGTTGAGACTCACCTTGTTGCTGGAGGAGGCGAAGGCGTGAGGAGAAGTGTGTGAGGGAGCACAGTGTTGTGCCGGCTTTTATGCTGCTCCCGGAGCACCTTAGGCCATGAGACGCCCTTTGTGCATGCCAGCATTTAGGATGTGGCTCGACTTGAAGGGCCAACCCTGCTAAGTCATGACATTTGGGTTGGATTTCCTTCCCGCAAAGCTCTCCTTTCATTTGCTGCTCTGTTGGAGGTGCCCATTATGGTGCAGTGGTCCCTTTCAAGGGTGCCACTCAAGTTGGGTGGCTCTAGTTGAAGATGCATGTGAGGCCAAGGGGACVCCATTGTGAAAGTGTAGGCAAGCCTGGGTGTCATCAGTGAGGTCACAGTGCGGTAGTTTCCTGATGTGGTTAGGGGCAGTGTTGTGTGTAGCTTCCCCCTTTTTGTGAGTGAGCAGGAAGGCTGGTGTGTCATTGGCAGGAGTGTGGGTCTTGTGACCTTGCCCCTTAGATCACGTTGCCTGTCTTGCTGTGATCTGCGCAATATTTTGTTTAGGCCTAGCCATAGTGGTGATCTTGRCTGCCCTGTTGTGTTTCCAGTTGTGATGCTTTTGTGGTGTCAGTAAAGGAAAGGAGTCTGTGTGTGTTGTGTTGTGCTGTGGTGTGGCCTTGCGTGATAGACCCAATGGAGAGAGCAGTGGCAGCTGGAGAACTCTGCAATGAAAACTAGTCCTGCTCTTTTGTTTGAAAGCTGTAGGTCATACTTGTCTCCGAAGCGTGCTACTGGTCACTGCCTAGGGTTCTCCTTTCCTCCCCTCAGCCTCCCCTCAGCACATTGCCAAAGTGCTGTTCCTCTGCATACAGTCCTTCTTGAATGTCTAGAGGGAATGCTGTGGAGGGTTGTGAGAGTCAATGAGAGGCAGAGGTTGGAGTGGGAGCGTGAGGCAGGGCAAGAGCATTCAGGCTGTGGCATGTGAGTGAGTGCCGGTGGGTGAGGGCAGTGCCATGAGGAGTGTTGGAAGGTTCAGGGTTACTACTGTTTCTTGTAGAAGAGAAGAGCAGGAGCACATGGAGTCGTGGTCTTGGGATGTGAGCCTTTTGCCCTGTCGACATGCAGAAGGGAGCGTGGAGGACAGGGCCTTCACGAAGAGAGCACACGTCAGTGCTTTGGGAAATTTTTATTGTTTTCGGACAGGAGCTGCTGTAGTGCCTTTCTGTTTTGGTGTCCGTGTGAATGCCATTGTGAATGCCCTGTGGTCCATTTTCTGGAGTCTTCTCTACTTCCTACCTGAGAGCACAGGTGTGCCTGCGTTGTGGAAGGGAGGCTGCAATGCTGTTGGAGAATATCGTTGTGGAGGAAGAGGAAGCATGGAGATGCTTTATGATGTGAGCTGCTTTGTGCAGGCAGTTGTTTGTGTGTGTTTCCTATGAGGAATGTGCCCTTTCATGAGCGGTTGTCCATGGGGCCTGCAGCTGACTTATGTTTGTCCTTTGCCTTGTGGTCCCAAGTGGAGGCCTTGAGGCCGATGTGGCACCATATTTAAGGAAAGGAGATATGCTTGTAGCCTTTGTGTCTTTTGTGTTTCCCAGGGTCCATCTTTTCTTATTCTTTGTGGTGAGCAATATTAGAGTGCTGCTAAGTGTTGGTGATGACAAGAGGTGGTGCAGCATGTGGAAGCAGTGTGTGTTTGAGTGAGAGTCCTGGTGGGAAGGCTCATGGTGTGTACAAGGGCCTGTTGAGGGAAGAGAGCGTGTTTTGTGGTGTGTCAGAAGGGCATGTGCGTGGCAGTCTGGYTGTTGGTCTTAATTGGTTTGGGAGAGGTGATGGCACTCAAGGGAGATGCAGGCATACTTGGCCCACTCTGTACGTATGTGCAGCCCTAGGTTTCCTTCGGTTGTGAGGAGCTTGGTTTGCGCGTCCTGATGGAGGTCAAGATAAGCATTAGAGGCTCCTGGTGTCCCAGTCCCCAAGCCCCTGTGCTGGCCTAAAGAGCCCGGTGTTTGTGTTTGCCGAGGCTGTGAGATTCTTGTGAGAAGAAAGGAAGAGGAGGCATCTGTGTTTACAATTCATCAGGTGTTTATTAATGGCCAAGGGTGAGAGGAAGAATGGCAATTGGAAAGGAGGTGTTGTGAGTTGGAAGGGAGAGCATCAACGGTGTGGCCTCCCTGTGTGCCGTAGATGTTTGCCCTGCACATTTGCAACGCAGCCCTGAATCCGGAGAAGTGGTGCTAAGAAGGAAGATGTGGGAAAAGAGCAGGAGCTGCATTGTCCCTGTCATCAAGAGATGAGGCTGTGCCCGTTGCCCATGCAATCGCTTCCTCCATGCTGGAGAGACAGAGACATGGACATAAAGCCCAAGTGGAGGCAGGATTGTGGAGGCTGAGAGTCTCTCCTCAGCCCATTGCCAACGTGCTGTTCCTCTGCATACAGTCCTTCGTGAATGTCTGTTGGGAATGCTGTGGAGGGTTGTAAGAGGTGGTGAGAGGCAGTTGTGGCCTGAGAGCGTGCGATAGGGCAAGACATTTGGGTTGTGGCCTGTGAGTGAGTGGCAGGGGTCGAGGGGAGTGCTGTGTGGAGTTTTGGAAGGTTCAGGGTTGCTACTGTTTCTTGTAGAAGGGAAGAGCAGGAGCACATGGAGTTTGTGGCTCTGGATGTGAGCCTTTTGCCAGGTCAACTTGCAGAAGAGAGCAAGGAGGACAGAGCCTCCACAAAGAGAGCACACGGCAGTGCATTATGATGATGATGATGTGAGCTGCTTTGTGCAGCCCGTTGTTTGTGTGTGTTTCCTATGAGGAAGCTGGCCTTTGATGAGCGGTTTTCCGTGGGCCCTGTAGCTGACTTGTGTATGTCCTTTGCCTTGTGGTCCCGAGTGGAGGCCTTGAGGCCAGTGTGGCACCATAATTAAAGGAAAGGAGATATGCTTGCAGCCTACGTGTCTTTTGTGTTTCCCAGAGTCCTATCTTTGCTTATCCTTGGTGGTGAGTAATATTTGAGTGCTGATAGGTCTTGGTGATGACAAGAGGTGGTGGAGCATGGGGCAGGTCTGTGTGTTTGGGTGAGAGTCCTGGTGGGAGGGCTTATATTATTTAAAAGGGGCTGTTGAATTAAAAGAGAGTGTAGTGTAGTGTGCTGAAAGGGTATGTGCACGCCAGTCTGGTTGTTGGTCTTAATTGGTTTGGGAGAGGTGATGACACTCTTGGTTGACGTAGGCATCACTGGCCCACTCTGCGCAGATGTGAAACCCTGGGTGTCCTGGGTGTAATGGAGTGAGAGTCCTGGTGGGACGGCGCGTGTTGTGTACAAGGGCCTGTAGAGGAAAGTGAGCATGTTGTGTGGTGTCTCAGAAGGGCATGTGCATGGCAGTCTGGTTGTTGTTCTTAATTGGTTTGGGAGTGGTGATGGCACTCATAGGCTCCTTGTGTCCCAGCCCCCAAGACCATGTGCTGGCCTCGAGAGCCCTGTGTTTGTGTTTGGCGAGGCTGTGTGATTCTTGAGAGAAGAAAGGAAGAGGAGGCATCTGTGTTTGCAATTCATCAGGTGTTTATTAATGGCCAAGGATGAGAGGAAGGATGGCAATTGGAAAGGAGGTGTTGCGAAGTGTAAGGGAGAGCATCAATGGTGTGGCCTCCCTGTGTGCAGAAGGTGTTTGCCCTGCCCGTTTGCAAGGCAGCCCTGAAGCCGGAAAAGCGGTGCTAAGAAGGAAGATGTGGGAAAAGAGCAGGAGCTGCATTGTCCCTGTCATCAAGAGATGAGGCTGTGCCCCTTGCCCATGCAATCGCTTCCTCCCTTGCTTGAGCGACGGAGACATGGACATAGAGCCCAAGAGGCAGGCTTGTGGAGGTACATGCTCAGAGGCTTGAGTGTCTTGCAGGATGTTGTTTATTCTCAGGGTGCGTGGGGAGATTCCTTAGCAGGGGTAGCAGCCTCTTCCGCGGGCGAAGCATCCAAGACCTCCAAAGCCAGCGCCATAGCCAAAACCAAAGGCACCGGAGTTGATGGGCACTCCCTGAGCGCTCAGGTTTGCCCCCACAGCGGCAGAGGAGGAGGATCCGACGGCGGTG